CCCCGCCCCCCCTTAGGGTTTTTTTTTTTTTTTTTTTTTTTTAACTTGACAACACATAGAAGCTTAACTTGATTGGATGATTAAAAAAACATTCACTCACAAACGACTGGAAGCTCCGCAGCCAAGATCCAAGCTATAAAATGAAGACAAAAGACTGTTGGAAACAAAATAATCCAACTCCATGTAAATTGTAAATTTAGGTCAATACTTTTAAATGTGTTTAGGCCAAATGAGAAGGCCTGAAGGACTTGACTATAAGCCACTGACTCTTACGACTATGCTATTTCATGAGGTTGGAGCACGGCATCGAAGTTTGTTCATTAGTTGCTATTATTATCATAGATTAGTAATACTGTATATGTTTTTGTATCGTTGGAGGCTCCAAATATTTTTCGTGGTCTGCTTTTAAGCTTCCATTTACAATATTACTTTGGCAAATCTCCCTTTCAGGTATTGGAACAATGGCATGCGTTCATCAAAAAATAATATGCTGTGAAATGAATATGAGGGCAAAGCCACGCCTCTGCTACTAGAATTAAGTGGAATTTATTTTTGTGTCTCTGTTTAGATTGTTTTGCCATTTCACTTAGAGAGGATCAAGGAGAAGCTTGCAGAAAACATCCACGAGCTGTGGGTGATGAATAAGATTGAATTTGGCTGGACCTACGGCGTTGTGAGTATTGAGGATTCAAGGAGAAGCTTGCAGAAAACATCCACGAGCTGTGGGTGATGAATAAGATTGAATTTGGCTGGACCTACGGCATTGTGAGTATTGAGTATCCTTATCGCTCTGGCTACAGTTTTTCTTTCATTTTAGTCTTAGTCACATTTTAGTCCTTTCTATATGTGGTAGTTTTAATAGTCCAGACGCTGTACCGAGCCTCCTGTCGATCTCACTTTCCATCCTTCTCTCACCCATGAACAAGAACCAACAACTTCTCCGCTTAGAGATCTCATTCCCGACCTGGAGAGGGCACTGCACCCTTTTATGACTGTGTGCTAAGGGCGTACTAAGACACTCTCTACCTATGTTTGTTTTCCAGGTACGAGATGACACCAAGACGTATTTATTAGACTGACGAACAGACAGACAGAGTTTGTCGATTCCAGTAGGGAAATGAGTGAATGCAAGCAGACATACAGGTATACTCAAACATCTACAAAAGTAAGCATGTATGAAGCACTTGGATAGTACAAAGGGCTTTTGGAATCATCCGTCCATCCATGCATTGAAATGATTATCCTCACGGCGGTCGCGGGCGTGCTGGAGCCTATCCCAGCCGTCTTTAGGCGGTGTAACCCTGAACTGGTTGTCAGCCAATCTCAGGGACACACAGACAAACAACATAATCACTCTCACATTCACAAACACCAGACCTCAGCCAGAGACCTTTTGGGACCCACTGTTACCATGAGTCAGGCAACATTCACGCCCATGCCTGTGAACACCACCCAGGTGAAGATGGCTAGATTATGCCGTATTTATTAGACTGACGAACAGACAGACAGATTTTGTCGATTCCAGTCGGGAAATGAGTGAATGCAAGCAGACAGAGCCTATCCCAGCCGTCTTTGGGCAGTAGGCGGTGTAACCCTGAACTGGTTGTCAGCCAATCTCAGGGACACACAGACAAACAACATAAATCCTTGACCGGGTTGGGAATAAGCCAGCCAGCTACAACTTCCGTCCTTTCTTCATGTCCACTTTAACTCATTCAGTACCAGCCAACTTTAGACCAAGTCTAAAAAGACGTTCAAAAACGTCTTTGGGAGTGAATGAGTTTGAACTTGAAGCGTCCACCTTGAAAATTTATTTTGAATAATGTTCAACATGCACCACAGTGTTTGACTGGTTAGCATGTCCGCCTCTTAGTGCAGAGGTGCAGGGTTCGATTCCGGTGACCGACCTTCCTGTGTGGAGTTTGCATGTTCTCCCCGTGCCCGTGTGGGTTTTCTCCGGGTCCTCTGGTTTCCTCCCACATTCCAAAAACATGCGTGGCAGGTTGATGGAACACTCGAGTCTAAATTGTCCATAGATGTGATAGTGACCCCAAATGGTTGTTCGTCTCTGCGTGCCCTGCGATCGGCTGGCAACCGGTTCAGGGTGTACCCTGCCTATTGCCCAAAACCAGCTGGGATTGGGACCAGCACGCCTGCGACCCTCATGAGGATTTTTTTTTTTTTTTTTTTTTTTTAACTTGACAACACATAGAAGCTTAACTTGATTGGATGATTAAAAAAACATTCACTCACAAACGACTGGAAGCTCCGCAGCCAAGATCCAAGCTATAAAATGAAGACAAAAGACTGTTGGAATCAAAATAATCCAACTCCATGTAAATTGTAAATTTAGGTCAATACTTTTAAATGTGTTTAGGCCAAATGAGAAGGCCTGAAGGACTTGACTATAAGCCACTGACTCTTACGACTATGCTATTTCATGAGGTTGGAGCACGGCATCGAAGTTTGTTCATTAGTTGCTATTATTATCATAGATTAGTAATACTGTATATGCATTTTGTATCGTTGGAGGCGAAACGATTCAAAGCAATGCTCCAAATATTTTTAGTGGTCTGCTTTTAAGCTTCCATTTACAATATTACTTTGGCAAATTTCCCTTTCAGGTATTGGAACAATGGCATGCGTTCATCAAAAATAATATGCTGTGAAATGAATATGAGGGCAAAGCCACGCCTCTGCTACTAGAATTAAGTGGAATTTATTTTTGTGTCTCTGTTTAGATTGTTTTGCCATTTCACTTAGAGAGGATCAAGGAGAAGCTTGCAGAAAACATCCACGAGCTGTGGGTGATGAATAAGATTGAATTTGGCTGGACCTACGGCATTGTGAGTATTGAGTATCCTTATCGCTCTGGCTACAGTTTTTATTTCATTTTAGTCTTCGTCACATTTTAGTCCTTTCGATATGTGGTAGTTTTAATCGTCCAGACGTTGTACCGAGCCTCCTGTCGATCTCACTTTCCATCCTCCTCTCACCCATGAACCAGAACCAACAACTCCTCCGCTTAGAGATCTCATTCCCAACCTGGAGAGGGCACTGCACCCTTTTATGACTGTGTGCTAAGGTTGTACTAAGATACTCTCTTCCTATGTTTGTTTTCCAGGTACGAGATGACACCAAGCGGCAACACCCATGTTTGGTGGAGTTTTCAAAGTTGCCGGAACAGGAACGAAGTTACAATTTACAGATGTCTGTGGAAACTCTCAAGTAAAGTATTGCTGCATCATTCAAAAGATAGAACGTCTCTCTCTCTCTCTCTCTCTCTCTCTCTCTCTCTCTCTCTCTCTCTCTCTCTCTCTCTCTTTGATCATTTCGAGGGGGTGCTTGGGCATGAACATGCTCCAATATTCACATTTTTATCACCATATTTGTGTGTATGTTTGATGTTTTTGTGCGCCTGTGTGTATATGCGTACATGCACACGTGTGTGTGTGTGTGTGTGTGTGTGTGTGTGTGTGTGTGTGTGTGTGTGTGTGTGTGTGTGTGTGTGTGTGTGTGTGTGAAACAGAACTCTTCTTGCCTTGGGCTGCCATGTCGGTCTTGCAGATGAACATGCTGTGGAGAAAGTCAAAAGTATAAAACTGTCATCAACGTGAGTTCCTATTCTTAAAGTTGAACATGTTAAGCTTGTAAGGCAGGTGATGTTCAAAAAGTGTGGTATTTACCTCTGACCTCTACAGCTATGAGTTGTCCAGTGGTTACAAACCTGCTCCCTTGGACCTGTGTCACATCAAGCTGACCTCCACTCAGGAAGCCATGGTGGACAAATTAGCTGAAAATGCGCACAATGTCTGGGCAAGAGATCGCATCCGTCAGGGTTGGACTTACGGAATTCAACAGGTAGCTATTGTGTGTCAGACCATGAATAGTAGGAGATTGTGTCAAGCTGGGTGTATTTCCGAACCGAATCGTTCATTGTAGAATGTAAAACCCGCCATTGCAGGATGGTAAAGTTGATGCGTCGGCTCGTGGACTGATGGGTTCAATATTTGTTGGTGGTGTTGTGAAAATGTCTTTTTGTCCGTGTATGATAAGGAAATAAAGTCTCTGATTCACACATGTATTTTTAGGAATATTAATTATCTTGATACCATGGAAGAAAACAAGTCAAAAGACTTCAGCCAAGTATCCCTGTTCTTCTTCTCCGTGCTTGCTCTTTCTCATCATAACATTGTCTTTATTAAACATTAACTTGACAAGGGAAAGCCCTCTCCCTGACCCAAATACCAAGAAGTGCACAAACGTAAATTAAACTCAGAAACCTAATAAGGCAACCCACGAAGCGTCACGCTACCTTGATGTTTTGCACAGCATAAGAGACAGTTTTATTGTGGCGGTCACTGCACCGCCCAGAAGAAAGGAAAGGTTGTGCTAATATATTTCGAAGGACAGATGTTAGGTCTCCATTCATGATTGTCTAGTTAAAAAAAAAAATCCTATGGTTGCCTTGTTTTAAACATGTATTATAGTGTTTAGCTAGCTAGCAACTAGCTTGAGAAACTAACATACTGGGCTAAATCTTCATTCAGTGCTCCTTTTTGTCAAAAATTACCAACAGGTGGACTTTTAACTAACTGTCCAACACCACTCAAAAAATCGAAATCCCAAATTTTTGGTTTGCTCAGTTTATGGCTGATTGTCCTATCAAGCTCACACAATCGACAAAACAGAGATTTAGAATGGACTTAAAGTGGAGGAAAGAGAGCTGTCGCGTCCACTGCCGTTTTGTGACATGCAAACACACCCATGATAAGGTGTCCACTGTAGTAACTGCTGTCCCGTTATACCACTAAAAACCATCCGTTTCAAAAACAGTTGTGACCAATCAATCAGAAATTCAATGCGACACATTACTATTTCATCGAGTACCATGCCTTTCGGACTGGAGTAAAATGTTCTCATCTCCTTGTTGTGATTTAACATGTCCTCTGTTCTTGTTTTCCCATTTACCTGTCAGGATGTTAAGAATCGCAGAAATCCTCGTCTCGTGCCCTATAGTCTCTTGGATGAAAGGACCAAGAAATCAAACAAAGACAGTCTGAGAGAAGCCGTCAGAACTCTGCTTGGTTATGGATACAACCTGGAAGCTCCTGACCAGGACCACAGTATTATACATACTCTCCTACTGCATGACTTAATCCATAACATTTCATTTGATCTAGCTTAATGACTGTCTGTCACCTTTTCTTTAAATAGCTCACTTTGATCAGAGCAATACGTCTGCTGAAAGGTTCCGGATCTTCAGAGCTGAAAGATCTTACTGTGTGAATGCAGGAAAGTGGTACTTTGAGCTAGAGGTAAGAGGGAAATAGGGGAACCTGAGCCTCCGACTTCAGTGTACTGCATTGTGCAGAATTACCGTATTGGCTCGAATATAAGACGGCCCTGATTATAAGACGATCCCCTCTTTTTCAAGGCTCAAGTTTGAAAAAAGACTTTTTGAACACCAAATTAATTTTTATACAGAAAATAAAATACAGTACATCTGAAACAAATGATTACAACAATATATTTGAGAGAAAAAGCATGTTATTTTACCTCATTCAAATCTGAATATCTGAACATTTAAATGTGTAAACTATTATGTTCTTCTCTTTTCTTTCTAACCGCTATTTTGTATTTTTCTTCTTCGTGCTACCGCTATTTTTATTTTTATTCTTCGTGACAGGGGTTCCCTTTGGCCTGGGGAGTCAAGTTCAGCATTCGCTTCAATGATATCTGGCGCCATCTAGCGTCGTGAATGGGTATAATGTCTAGACCCTGAATAGCTGTATAAGACGCCCCCCACTTTTTCAGTCTTATTTCAATGCAAAAAACACCGTCTTATATTCGGGCCAATACGGTAATATCACGCTTAACATTAGAACCGTTGGCTGTTTATACAGCAAAATATATTTTGATGTATTATGAAAGTAAAATCTGTTGTATGATATCATGGATCCTCAAAAATATCAGGGATAAGTTATTATAACTATGTCTTCTCCTTTCTTTTGTTTCACATCTGCATTTGTCTCAGGTATTGACAGCAGGAGAGATGAGGGTTGGCTGGGCGAGACCCGGATGTCTACCAGATCTAGAATTAGGTTCTGATGAACAAGCCTTTGTCTTTGATGGATTCAAGGTACCTACATTTATCTGTGCAATTTTCTTGTATGAAATGCTGTGGCTGTGTAATCCTGTTCAAAAGTATGTGTTTAAAAAAAAAAGTACTGTATTTTTGCAATACAGTACACAGAAAACATTTGGGTATGACATCAGAAGTTCAATGTAAGACTATGACAAAATATACCATTTCAGCTTTTATTTCCAGGTAAATACATCTGAATTGGATATTATGATTATTATTATTATTATTATTATTATTTACTTATGATGTAGAGACATCGGAAGTTAAATATGTAAAATATATTAAAGTGAATAATTTTTGGCTTGCAACACCTGCACAACCCATGCGACCCATTGCCATCATTCTTCTTTTGTGATGCTCTTTTGGGTTCTCCCCTCAGATTTTTTTTTTCCAGTAGTTTTATTTACATAAATTTGAATGTGATCAGTTCAAGTGATTAGTGCAAGTCACATTAATGTTGGCTGAAAAAAATTGTAAAAAATTGCATTTGAACATGGTCGTGTAGATCCTTCTTGTTGGGATAGTCCCTCCAAGTGTCCAAAGGATAAGCAGTCAAATGGATTGGAGTGCATGGAGTTCCAGTTTCAGTCACATTGTTTGCTCTGTTGGACTCCATGATTTCCAGGTACAACGCTGGCACCAGGGCAACGAGCACTTTGGGCGCGCCTGGCAGGCAGGGGATGTTGTTGGCTGCATGGTGGACTTGAATGAACACACCATGATGTTCACCCTTAATGGAGAAGTACTGCTTGATGACTCCGGCTCAGAACTGGCTTTCAAAGACTTTGACGTTGGTGAAGGTTGGTGGTTTTTGCAGTTATACAGTAAGTCATATGTTTGACCAATATATACATTATGGGTATCACAATGAGTTGAAAATAAGAGCAAATTCATTTAAAATATCAATTCTTGAGGACGGGTGCAGAATGTAGGTGAATGTGCAAAAAAAAAAAAAAAAAAAAAAAAAAAAAAATATAAAAAAAAAAAAAAAAAAAACACACACAAACTGATAAAAATGCACACTTCAAAAAAACCACGAGAAACAGAAGATCGCAAAAATACATGCTAAAGGCAGACTTCAAACACATCCATCTCGTTACCTCTGCGTCCCGCGTCCTCGACGCATAATTTTCCCGCCAGACGCACAGTTCCAAATAATGTGCGGTTTTGGGACGCAAGGAAATTTCTCAGTCAAAAAAAAAAAAAAAGCAAAAAACAAACAAACAAAAAAAAAACTACTGTTAATCTTTTTTTCCAACAACGATCGCAGTTTGGCAATCGCAGCAATTGTTGTTTTGATCTCGCGTTAAGTAATCTTGCGTGACGAGATTTCCGTTCTCGCGAGACGAGATTGGCGAGAATGGCAGATGAATGCCAAGTCGTGCAACGTTAAAACAAGTGTTGCGAACAAGTGTTGCGAAAGTCTATTGCGGAGATATCGCGGAGGAAGCAGCTAAAGTCGGATCGTTTTTTTGCGCTAATAATCTTGTATGCCTGAATTATTTACATTTTTGCAGCATTTGTTTATAAGAAATAAACCTCTTGTCAATGTATATTGTTGTTGTTTGTGTTATGATCAGATGCAATTGAATAAGTACACCATTTCAGAATTCAAAATTTGGGACTCTCTAAATGCATTCTGATCAGCGAGTCCCTGGGACTCGCAGCAGAAAATTAACTCTGGTGATACCGGCGAAAAGGTGAGTATAAAAACGCTAGAACTTTAACACACACACACACACACACACACACACACACACACACACACACACACACACACACACACACACACACAC